TCATTGCAAAAAATGTGTTTATGTATATACTGTATTCTATATATAGTACCAGTCAAATGTTTGGAGACACGAATGGGAAAGTGTCCAAACTTTTGACTGGTATTGTACTATAATTTACAGCAAGAATGTCGGCTGATATATCGATGTCGGCCTTTTTTTACTCCCTAATATCGGTATCGGGCCCAAAAAACCCATATCGGTCAGGCTCTATTCACAATAACAACAAAATGTTGAGCTTTTGTAAAATAGAGAAAAATAAACAGGATGCGCTTTCTGCCAGTGTCCATGAAATGGAGCGCGTCACAATTAACAGCCTACTTGCCTCACAAAAAATAAATCTATGAAAAAAATATATCTTGAAATGTCTATTATTGAACGAACCAATAAAAAAAAACTCTCTAATTATGTAGTCCGTATAAAAATGTGCATTTCCATTACTGTGAAGATGACGAGCCTGCGTCGGCATTCGGTAACTTCATCTTTGCAACCGACACTCACTGAAAGCACTAGTTTATTAATAAATAATTAAAATGTCTTCTTTTCCCCGGGCACATTCATAATCATTCATTTTGCCAGTGCTTTGTGGCAAGCTTTATGCGCGCGCTTGAGCACAGAATATAGGCTACACGCCTATATGCCTAAAGGATGGTTTAGTAGGTTATTATATTAATCATTTTAATATAAACGTGCGACTAGTATTGACTAGGGGCAGGCCTATTTGGCACAAGGAACCGATCCATTTTTTAAATAAAATGCTATGACATTATGAAAAGTGCGACTCCAAATCACGTCACGCTGCATTGCACGAGTTATGCATGCGTTAAGAGTCAAATGCTTTTATTTAATTTTTTGGGGGTGCTATGATCTTTCTTGGGGGTGCTAAAGCACCTGCTAGCCCCTCCCTAGCGCCGCCCATGTCTATGGTGTAGACAGCATCACTGATTATAATGAGTTCTGTAGTATTTTGTCGCGCCGCACCACTCGCGTCCAGTGTAGACACCAGGGGCGTTGATTACGTGGGGGCGTGTCCCCCCCAATTTTAATATCACGTAAATTCATCCCCCGCACTTTTTCGGGCAAGTGTGTTCACATAGAGGTTTTCAAGAGCCGGTGTGAATGAATATAGATTTAAATTCAAAGAGACATTATAGTCTGTGCATGATCTGATGTTTTATTCGGACCCAGAATAAGGCGAGATGAACATCGCGGACCGCTAAACACTCCGTGCAGTGTGTGTTTCATTCATACTCGAAGCCGGAGGCGCTCTCGCGCAGAAAGTCTTACGAGGAAATTCCTAATATGGACAAAAGCGCCCAGCTATGCTGTATGAAAACAGCTGTTTTCACAGAAAACAGAAACGTTTGGAAGCATTAAGACATTAAACATACGATTGCGACAATATATGGTTTATTTGTGTTTGTCAAGTCATCTCCAGGTAATAAATAAAGTATATGAACAATGCAGTGCTAACTGACATAGCATTTATTACAGTATAGAAACTATTCTGCCTTATGTGATAAAGTGTTTGTAGTATATAAACAAATCATTATTATTGGTTATTGTCCAGCAGTTATCTGATTTCTAAGTCAATTAAAATCTAGAAATTAGAGAGAATTTAAAGTTGCCTATACACTACCAGTCAAACGTTTTTGAATAGTAAGATTTTTAATGTTTTTTAAAGAAGTCTCTTCTGTTCACCAAACCTGCATTTATTTGATCCAAAGTACAGCAAAACAAATATTGAAATATTTTTACTAGGCTATTTAAAATAACTTTTCTATTTGAATATATTTTAAAATGTAATTTATTGTGATTTCAAAGCTGATTTTTTTGCATCATTACTCCAGTCACATGATCTTTCAGAAATCATTCACTTCAGCCAGCATCAGTCTGACGCAGAAGCAGCATGCAGTGTTGTTGTTGTTGTTTTTTTGTTGCACGAGACGAAATGGCGGAAGGCAGCGACAGCGCTCCGGTGATTTTTCAGCCATCTAAGAGGACCAAATCGGTGGTCTGGTCGTATTTTGG